ATGCTATATGCGATAACTATTAGAGTTATTAGGCTACTTAGTAGCCGCTACTAGGGATATTGAATTTGCGGTGTGGATTATGCTCAGAAATAGTATTTGGATAATCTTCTTCTGAATTACCGAAGAACAATCTCGAGGGTTCGTCGAGGCTCGAGGCAAACGCGCAATCTGACCGAACCCGGGGAATACCATTCTTCCGACCCGGGGAATCGGCATCTGCAGAATATCTGGCTGTCGCCGCAATTGGCAGCGTGCCACAGCGAAGCGATTCGCCTCGGGCGAACAGCCAGGTCGTGCGCGGATATTCAGTATCTCGCTGATGGAGTCTATCCGAGTCAGTTAATCAGACAGCCTCCCAGTGCCTGTGGCTATCAACTGAGCGGTCTAGCCTCGACCCTTACTTTTCTTCTCGTGGAAGTGCTTTGCTAAAGGCATCCTGAATTGTTGCAATAATATGATAGGTGCTGTAGACCCTATAAGTAACTCTCAATGCTGACGTAGAAGAGCATTTCAATGAATTTCGAATTTCGAGGTGGATCGATTTCTCGAATCGAATCGATTCGTCTGCCCGCCGCAGCATCCTCGATTGATTAGCACCGAACAATCGATCGATTTTCGATATCTCGATCCAATCGAGCCTCGGTCCGATGTATGCGGTGTATCGATCCAGATACCATTAGCTTTTCTCGTCCAGGAGAACCTGAGAATGTAGAAACTTTGGATCCCATCGATCCATTGGCAACGGGCAATTCCCATTGACTCACGTGTTCGTGACCAGGCGATTGGAAGTCGGAGACATAAGGCATGGCCCATTCATCTCCAGCGTATATGTCATGCTGCTTAAACCGGGGCCACCGTTAATGAATAAGAAAGTGGGCGCCGTCGTAGGGTTCCCATCGGCCTGTATGGAAGCGTAGAATAACCTGCGGCAGGAGTAGTAAGCCAACACAGCACAGCCACTCGTGGCCAAATCTACTAACCTTCCGAGTGGACTGACTTGTATATATCCATACTCCTGTTCACCAGTGCCGGTGGGACACAGGACTTTACCAGTCTTAGAAAGTCCACGTGGGGGGGCGTGAGGCACTTTCCGCACCAACGAGAGCTACGATGAATGATAGGATGAAGACCATAGTCAATACTTCTGAGCTACTATTGTACATGGAAATTCACATTCTCATATTCCTTCGGCAGACTCAGACTGCATGTC